CATTGCTGTGTAAGTCTCCTCACTTTCTTCAGAGAGAGCCAAATGCCTAGCCTCTCAAACATAGCAGCTCCTTGCCCCAAGTAGATTTGCTCCTGGTGCTAATATCTGCAGTCCTGTGTTGCCCAAAGCAGTCAGAGATAGAAAATCATTCCTAAGTAATTAACATGTTTTATTTAATTCACAAAATGAAAACTAGGAGGACTTCCTCATTTTCCAACCCCTCTGTTTTTGCCCATAGTGATTAGCAGAAGACCCTTGAGATTGGGAAGCCCATGCCTTGCCTTCAAGGCAATAAAGTAGGAGCAGTGGGGACTCTGGAAGCTGGCTTGGTGACAGCAGCATCAGAAGGTAGAGAGGAGCAAGGAGCAAGCAGAATACGAACAGAATACAAGCAAAAGAGAGCCGAGCAGCCAGACTGGGTCTGAAGAAATGGCCTCACAGGGTTGAAGGACTCTCTGGCAGGTTCTGCAACTCATTCTATTTAAGTCAGAGGGACCAGAGATTGATTCATCCCAGGTGAATTTTGGGAAGTCAACAAATTGTTCTGAGCTCAGCTTTCATGTTTGTGAACTGGTGATGAGTGAATGATGCTTAATTTGCAAACTGTTAGAATGTCTAGAACTCGCTCTGTGCTTGGCACCTAAGCAGCTTTCATCCCCGTTACTTGTCTCTTGCCCCTTCAATGGGCCTTGTAAGTCTTCCATCACAGGTGTCCCTGGGGTTGGGGAAATTGCCTGGGATGTGGTTGACTGTTAGAATTTTATGTCTTATTCTTTTATGCCCCTAAAGATGACTTTGCACTTTAGCTTTATAGGCCTTTCTGCTGGAGAACTTGGAATGAGTTCCCTAACCACCTAATAATCATATTATGAGGACTCAACGAGACAAATTACTCAAAAGTTCTCTATAAACATTTGTCGTATATGTTTCTTTGTTTATTGTTTGCACTTTTGAACATTTCAGAGACTTGGAGGTAGAAATGAAACTTGGGACTTGGATTTGTTTGATTTTTTTTTAAGTTTTTTAAGGCAGCTTGGAGGCATATCAGATTATTTATTAGACTTTATCTTGGAGGCAAAAGATATCAAGTGAATAGGAACCACTGATCTCTGATGTAAAATGGAACCTGTAATCCCCTGCTCTTGGCTGCTAATATGCCACAGTTTGGCTATTTTATTATTTGTAATGCAGTGTTACTTGGCGCCTGATTTTTATTTTTTTATTAATTTTTTTTTAAGATTTTATTTATTTATTTGAGAGAGAGAGAATGAGAGAGAGCATGAGAGGGGGGAGGGTCAGAGGGAGAAGCAGACTCCCCGCCAAGCAGGGAGCCCGATGCGGGACTCGATCCAGGGACTCCAGGATCATGACCTGAGCAGAAGGCAGTCACTTTACCAACTGAGCCACCCAGGCGCCTGGCACCTGATTTTTAAATCCACATCATCAGTCATGGAGCCCTGCACTTTTCATTTATAGGAAAATCAGAGTTATCCGGGTCAGGTAAATAAATAAAGGTTCAGTGAAGTCATGAATTTCAACTTCTGGCATCATTGTTGGTTTAATTTTTTTGTAACTAAACACAAACCTTGTCAGCATTTTAGGGGGAAGAGCCGTCTACAATTATGTGAGAATAACTGTGGATATATAAATGGGGTTAATGCATGGAATTGAGCATAATGTGGCCACACCCCTGTGGGAAACGCTGGGTATGTGTGCTACATGGAGCTCTTCCAGCTTTTACCTGAGGAACAAGAGCCAGGTCTGGGACATTCAGAGAAACAACTCAGAGTCACCTTTCACATGCAAGAGAGTTCTTTGAAAACTCCTGTTTTACCTCAAAATGCACACACATTTTGCATTCAACTTTAAGTCTCTTCATGTTTGTTTTTAAATTAGTTTTACCCCGAATTCTGAGAACAGTGGGTGCTCCACGGCAGGCACCCTTGCCCCTGGCACACCTGCCCACCTCTGGAAATGAGAGCGCACCTGTCTGAGAAACCTCTGTGTTCTCGGAGGCTGGAAGACGGAGGATATAGGTCAACACGCTTATCTGACCACGTGTTTGAGGCACGTTTGTTTCCAGCAAACAGACTCATCTTCATGAGGTGGTACCATGAAAGGAAAAGTAGAATTTAAAGAACGTGGCAGAGTTAAGGCGGAGGGGGCCTAGTCATCACAGCTACGCATCTTCATAATGCTGAAGCAGAGTTCCCTGGCCAGGGTAAAAAGGCCTGCTCGCCACTCTATTTTTTGCTGAATTGCGTTTTGGGAGTATGCAACAGTGGTGTCGATTCATACTTATAGCCTTTAAAACAGCAGACATAATGAGAAAATGAGAATGGGAGTAGAAGGGATACATCAGAATTAAACCCCAGAGCCCTTCACTCAACTCCAAGAGCCTTCTCAGTAGCCTACGGCATCTTCAGCACACCACCAACAGATTCGGCTTTGAACATGTTAAACCATTTGCCAAGGAGGCTTTGTTGTGGAAACATCTGTCTGTGAAACAAATAGTGACACTTCATCTGAGAGGGGGCATCAGGACCCAGCACCCAGTGGTTAGAGTAACAGCGTGGCATCACACACAAGGAAGAGCAAAGGGAACAAAGAGAACCTGCAGACCCGAGAAGATGAGCAATTTGTTCATGTGCCCCCTTCACCTCAGGTGGTTCCAGGGTTAACTCTTTGGCTGAGTCTTCACACCGTTTTCACAGGCAATAAATGGTAGAGCGTCGGTACGTGCAACAGATTTTTTAACCTCAAACATGCCCCTGGAACTCACCTTAAACAAGAAGGCAAGATGCGGAACCTTCCTGAGACATGCAGATATTTTTACTCCCTGCAAAATGTTTATCACAGTTATGGTTGCCTCCATGTTCATCTCATCAATCTGGTGGCGAGATGACTTTGTAAATGATGTTAGCAAAGAGCCACAGGTTAAGTAGACTTCTATGGAGTTTTAAATGTGTCTCCCCTTTGAGCTTAGTAGCTTCTGAAAAATATACATTTCTCTCTTTGTCTACAGACCTGTTTTTTGATGCCATAAAGATGGAGAAACGTTTTGTAAATAGCCTGAATAGCCAGCAGAGGAATATTTAAATAGGAAGAAGCAAAATATGTATGCTTTAAACTGGAAGAAGCAAATATACTATCCTCTGTTGTGATTATCAGCATGTTACTTGTGTTAGCCTACTATGAAACGTGTAGTTTAATCCTATACTTTTTAAAAATTGGAATGCACGCACTTTAGACTTATAATTCTACAAGTCTATATTAAAAGTATAGTTTTTGTTGTGTCTTCAAGGAACTTATATTCTGAGGAGATAAGCTAGATGTTGGCGTCTTTAAACTAGAACTAGGAAGATGACTGTCATTGTCCTACTTTGACAGGTACAGCAGCATAAGGGGTTGTGGCCAGCCTGTTGAGGGCTCCTATGGCCTTCATCTGGACGTAGGTTTGACAAAGAAGAAAAATTTACATTAAGGAATTTTGATTTATTGGCCACTTCAAGAGTTAGGAGAGTGGTCCAGCCTGGGGACGCTGTTTCTGAGCTGTTTGTTGACCCCTGTTGCTGTATGTCAGCCAGGCAGTGTGAAGAACAGAGTAGGAAGAATCGGGCTTTCCAAACTGAAGGAAGATAATGCCTTGGGACCAGCCCATATTCCCAACTCACAAATCCCAGGCCATGTCTTCCTCTGATTCTTTATTATCAAATGAGACTCTTAGAGGACAGACCTGTCTCTTATCTCACGTGATGCCATGATCCATTCCATTTGCCACTGACATTGATTCTCTCTGCTGAGCAGCCCAGCAGCCCTGAAATGCACCTTGCACTTGGGTCTGGAAGCCAGCATACTAAAGAAGTTTGCACATTAGCTGAAGCTAAGCACAAAGGCACACCAGGGGCACCAGCTTCAGTGTGAGGAAGTATTCTAAAAATCCCTTCGTACTGTCCTGGGCCAAAGCTGTGAGCCCCAGTGATGCCCAGTCGTTACACTCATGTCTTATAAAGGCAGCTTGATGGTAACATCCAATCACACTCTTACAGCATCAAAGATACTGAAAGAAAGAGAAGCAGCCCACACAAACTACAGCAAAGAGACTTTGAGCTAGAGGTCATCAAGTTTTCTATCTTTTCCTTCTTCAGTACAGATTATCTTCTAGAAAGTGGATACTGTATGAATTTGCTTAACACTCTGATTTTAAAAATTATTTTCTGCAAATGCAATGTATTAAATAGTAAATCTGCCTTTGAATAAATATTCAGAATCATTTCTGAGTAGAACTTTCCTAGAAGAAAATGGAAGCAAGGACTTTAGATGTTCTGATGAATACATTAGCAGATATATATTGAGCAGTGCTGGAAAAGAAAACATTTTAGCAACCTGACTTGCAAATACCTACTAGACTACAGATGACCCATGTAACAATTATGTTCTGAAATTTCCCAGGAAGGCAATTAAATAAGAGAGACCTCAGAGTAGTTTCTTAATGCTATGCTCAGGCTCTTCCCTAATACACAGAATTTTCTGGAAATCCCTAGATAATAATACAGATCAGAAGAAATGGAGGTACAGCAGTTTAACAGTGTACTTTGCTAAGGGGAAACACATTATAATTACAACAGTAAACATCTATTGACCTATTTTATTGCCTTAGGGTCTGCTTTAATAAATAGTTTTTGCAAACTTGAATGTGAAAAGACCTTGTTTACATTAGTAGTTACAAAGAGCCTCTAATATTACAGTAATTGTGTTTGTTGATTTCCATTACTCTGAAAAATACCCCTCATCCCCACTAGCAGATCCTCTATTACTGGGAAAGACATTAGATTGCTAGAAGCTTGTTTTAATCAATGGTAGCCTAATAAAATCACAACACTGCTGTCTTTGTAGACTGTAGTTGGAGAAATAGCTGTGATTAAGCATGTTTGTTTTGCAGTGTGAGTATCTATTTCAATGCTTGTTTTGCTTGTCTCCCATTTTCCTTCTTCTTACAGATTTTTAAAAGCATTGGCTCTGATGAGACTGTCCAAGGGCAAGGAAGTCGGAGGCTGATCAGCTTTTCTCTCTCAGGTATGTTTTGCTCACCTGAAGGCCTATGGAGACAATAAGAAGGTCAACCATCAGTCAGGAGACCTACTTCAATTTGACTCTTACCTACAAGTTACTCCACCTCTAAGTGCCTCAGTTTCCCCATCTGCTAATTTAATTCCCCATCTAATTTAAAACAAAAATTAAAAATATCTGCTCCATTTTCCTTGACCTCATAAGGATACTGGAGGAATCAATAAGTAATAGATGCTAAAGCACTTTGAGATGATGAGGAGAAAAGCTGCAATTTCACTTTGTTTCCATTGTCACTAGCATTATCTGAAAGTTTATAAAGTGGAAGTAGGGGAAAGCCCAGGGAGAGAAGCAGCCAGCAGACTTTGTCTAAACAAAATCTCACATGAAGCTCAATTGGTAAAAAAGATAAAAACCAAGCTGCTCAAAAAAGTACATTTGTGGAAAAGTCAGTGAAAATCCAAATAAAGTATGTAACTTAATTAATAGTATTTAGTTGAGTAATCTAATTTTTTTAGTTTTCATAATGTATTAATTAATTAATAATGTATTCTGTAATATATTAACAATGGGGCAAACTGGGTAAAAGATATGTTGAAAATCTTTGTACTATCTCTGCAACTCTTCTGTAAATCTAGAATAATTTCAAAATTAAAAGTATAAAGAAAAACTGAGTTACCCTGCCTAAAATGATATACAAAGCTCAGAGCCCTACACACTAACTTCCATCCTAAGTGGTCTTTGAGGAGACACAATGGCATGAAGCTCTAGGACTCTATAGAACACAGTTGGAAAACTGTTGCCTTAGCTTGTTATCAACCAACAAATGTTGCAGACCATGAATGTCAGAGATCTAAGACCACAGAAATTAAGTACATGAGTGTCCTTGCATTTTTCATGTCTAAGTGAGCCCCAGTAAAGAAAATGTGTGCCTAAAGAGCCACTGGTAAGCAATTAGAGCAAGACTGCAGGATACAAGGTTAATAAACAAAAAGTCAATTGCTTTCCTATATACCAGCAATGAACAAATGGAATTTGAAATTAAACACACAATGCCTTTTTATATTAGCGCCCCCAAAAATGAAATGCTTAAATATAAATCTAACAAAGTATGTACAAGGTCTATATGAGGAAAACTACAAAACTCTGATGAATGCAATTAAAAAGGAACTAAATGAATGGAGAGATATGCCACATTGATAGATTAAAAGACTCAGTATTGTCAAGATTTCAGTTTTTCTATAGAATGCAATCCCAATTAAAACCCCATTAAGGCATTTTGTGGATATTGATTAAATGACTCTAAAATTTATAGAGAGAGGCAAAAGAGCCAGGATAGCCAACACAGTGTTGAAAGAGCAGATCAAAGTTGGAGAACTGACTTACTTAACTTCAAGACTTACTACAGCCATGGTAATCAAGATAGTGTCATATTGGTGAAAGAATAGGCAAATAGATCGGTGGAACAGAATAGAGTACCCAGAAAGAGACCCACATAAATTTAGTCAAGTGATCATTGACAAAGGAGCAGTGGCAATACAATGGAACAAAAACAGTCTTTTCAACAGATGGTGCTAGAACTACTGGACATCTACATGCAAAAAAAAAAAAAAAAAAAAGAATCTATATCCAGAACTTATATACTTCACAAAAGTTAACCCACTAAAAAGCTAGTAGAACTAATAAATTCAATAAAGTTGCAGGATACAAAATCAAAATACAAAATCTGCTATTTCTTCACTAATAATGAACTCTCAGAAAGAGAAATTAAGAAAACAATCCCATTTTTAATTGCATCAAAAAGATTAAAATACCTAGGAATAAATGTAACTAAGGAAAGATGGACCAGTACACCAAAAACAAGAAAACATTGATGAAAGAAATTGAAGAAGACACAAATAAATGGGAAGATAGTCCATGCTCATGGATGAGAAGAATTAATATGGTCAAAATGTCCATACTACCCAAAGCAATCTACACATTCAATGCAATCTCTATCAATATTCCAATGGCATTTTTTCACAGAAATAGAACAAAGAATTCTAAAACTTGTATGGAACCACAAAAGACCCCAAAAAACCAAAGCAATATGAAGAAAGAAGAACAAAGGTGGAGGAACCATTCCTGATTTCTAACTATATTACCAGAGCAATCAAAACAGTATGATATTAACATAAAAACCAGACACATATATCAAAGGAACAGAAAAGAGAGTCCAGAATAAACATACTCGTTTATGGCCATTTAATTCACAGCAAGGAGCCAAGAATATACAATGGGAAAAAGACAGTCTATTCAATAAATGATGCTAGGAAAATAGGACAGCCACAGGCAAAAGAATAAAACTAGACCACTGTATTACACCATACACAAAAAATAACTCAAAATGTATTAAAGACTTGAACATAAGGCCTGAAATCACAAAACTTTTAGAAGAAAATATAGGCAATAAGCTCCTTAACATCAGTCTTGGTGGTGATTTTTTTAGATTTGACACCAAAAGCAAAGGCAACAAAAGCAAAAATAAATAAATGGGACTATATCAAACTAAAAAGCTTTGCACAGCAAAGGAAACTGTCAACAAAATGAAAAGGAGTAATAGAAAATAATTGCAAACTGTATGTCTGAAAAGGGGTTAATATCCAAAATGTATAAAGAACTCATGCAATTCAGCAGAAAAAGAAAAGTCTGACTTAAGAATGTGCAGAAGATCCAAATAGACATCTCATCAAAGAAGACATACAGATGGCCAACAAGTACACAAAGAGATGTTCGACATCACTCATCATAAGTGATATGCAAATCAAAACCACAATGAGATCATCCTTTCACACCTGTTAGAATGGCTAGTATCAAAAAGACAAGAGAAAACAAGTGTTACCGAGGAGGTAGAAAGGTGCACTGTTGGTGGGGACATAAATTAGTGCAGCCACTATGGAAAACAGTATGGAGGTTCCTCAAAAAATTAAAAATAGAACCACCATAGGATTCAGCAATTCTACTTCTGGGTGTTTATCCAAAGAAATGAAAAAGTTAACCCACTAAAACTCACGAACTCAAAAAGATATATGCACCCCCATGTTCACTGAGGCATTATTTACAATAGCCACAACACAGAAGCAACTGAAGTGTCCACAGATAGATGAATGGGTAAAGAAAATGTGCTATATATATATATATATATACAATACAGTGATACTCAACTATAAAAAAGAATGAAATCTTGCTATTTGTGACAACATGGATGGACCTTGAGGGCATTATGCTAAATGAAATAAGTCAGACAGAGAAACACAAAGACCATATGACCTCACTTATACGTGGAATCTGAAAAAAAAAATCAAGCTCATGGATACAGAGAATAGATTGGTTGGGGCTGGGCAAAATGGGTGAAGGTGGTCAAAAGATACAAACTTCCTGTTATAAAACAAATAAGTCATGTGGATGTAATGTACAGCATGGTGACTAAAGTTAACAAATACTGTATTGTGTATTTGAAAGTTGGTAAGAGAGTAGATCTTAAAAGTTTTTATCAGAAGATAAAAAGTTATAACGATGTGTGGTGACGGCTGTTAAATAGACTTATTTGGTAACTCTTTTGCATTATATACAAATATAACGCAAATATACAAATCATTATGTTGTACACCTGAAACTAATATAATCTTATGTGTCAAGTATATCTCAATTTTTAAAAATAACTCAAAGTGGATCAGACCTAGGTGTAAAATGCAAAACTATAAAACTCCTTGAAGGTAACAGGAGAAAACCTACATGACTTTGGGTATGGCAATGGCTTTTTAGCTACAACACTGAACATGTGGTGCATGAAAGAAATAATTGATAAAGGACGAACTTTATTAGAATTAAAAACTTCTACACCACAAAAGACAATGTCAAGAGAAAGAGAAGACGAGCTACGCTGAGAAACTATTTACAAAATACTCATCCATTAAAGGAACATTATCCAATATACAAAGAACTCTTGAAATTCAATATGAAAACCAACAACTCAATTTAAAAAATGGACCAAAGATCTTGGCAGACATATCATACAGATGACAAATAATCATATGAAAAGATGCTCCATATCTTATGTCACCAGGGAAATGCAAATAAAAACAACCATGAGATACCACCACATACCTATTAGAATGGCCAAAATCCAGAACACTGACAACACCAAATGCTGACAAGAATGTAGAACAATGAGAACTCTCAACGGTTCCTAGTGCGAATGCAAAATGGTACAGCCACTTTCAAAGACAGTTTGGTGATTTGTTACAAAACTAAACATACTCTTACCATAGGATCCAGTGATTGCACTCACTCCTTGGTATTTACCCAAACGAGTTAAAAACTTAACTCTGTACAAAACCTGCACACAGATGCTTATAGCAGCTTTATTCATAATTGCCAGAACCTGGAAGCAACTAAGATGTCCTTCAGTAGTTGAATGGATGAATAAACTGTAGTACATGCAGATAATGGATTGATGTTCGTTGCTAAAAGGAAATGAGCTGTCAAACCAGAAAAAGACATGGAGGAATCTTAAATGCATATTACTAAGTGAAAAAAAAGTCAACCTGAAAAGGCTACATACTGTATGATCCCAACTATATGACATTATGGGAAAGGCAAAACTGTGGAGTCAGTAAGGAGATCAGTGGTTGCCTGGGGGTGGGGCTGGGGGAAGATAGGGAGAGGTGGAGCACAGAGGATTTTTTAAGGCAGTAGAAATATTCTGTATGATACTCTAATAATGGATACATTTGTCAAAACCCATAGAATGTACACCACCAAGAGTGAATGCTAATGTAAACTCTGGAATTTGGGTAATAATGATGTGTCAGTATAGCTTCATCAGTTGTAATAAATGTGCCCCTCTAATGGGAGATGTTAATAATGGGGGAGGCTCTGCATGTGTGAGGCAAGAGGTATATGGGAAAATCTGTACTTCCTCTTAATTTTGCTGTGAACCTACAACTCCCCCCTCAAAATAAAGTCTTTTATTAAAAAAAAAAATCAGCTGATGACATTAGCATGTGTCTAAGTTAAAAGAAAAAGGAAGAAGAAACTCAATACTTTTGTGTTATTAGGGCAGAAAGCCAACAACTCCTGATTTGCCATTCTTATGTTCCTGTTGAAATGCTTAAGAAATAACAATTATTTGTACAAACCTGCAGAAACAGCAGGAGCCTGGAAAACTACTCAGCTACCTTCCAGAAACCAAGAGGAAATTTCATTAACCAAAACTCAGTGAAATCCTGAAACCCGAGAGGGATGCCATGCAGGATGGGCAGCATGGGGCTGGGGAAGGAGACAAAATCTCTGTTAATTGGTTCCCATTTTGGTTCTGCCACATAGACATGGGCTGATAGACCTACTATATTCATTGTGAGACTACAGCCCTTGGTTTTCTTACATCTCCACTTTGCAGGGGAATTTTCACTTAGACCCATAGAATTTTCCATTGGACTTTTTCCCTCAGTGTCCACCAAGTTTCCTGAGGTGACCTCAGACCCTCACCCCAAGCTTCCTGAGGAATGCTGGAAGTCCAGTCCAGGAAGGGCCAACCGTCCTCTCTTAAAACACATAGTGACCACAATACCTGTTGTATTGACTTCTGACAAGGAATGGTTTTATACATGCCAGTAAATGTTCCATATAATGGGTTCTGTAGACATACCAGTCCATATTTGTAACGAGGTAGAAAATAGTCTAAAGATTGGAAAGACTTTTCCATATTTTAGATGGACTTTCTCCTTGTGTAAAGCCTGATATGATCTTTAACCTTACCAAAATACATTTAAATTAAAATGTTCCTAATTTTATAGATTTCCAGGCCATGGGGTTGAAGAAAGGGATGTTTTTCAACCCAGACCCTTACCTGAAGATTTCCATTCAGCCTGGAAAGCACAGCATCTTCCCTGCCCTCCCACACCACGGACAGGAGAGGAGATCCAAGATCATAGGCAACACCGTGAACCCCATCTGGCAGGCCGAGGTGAGTGCTGTGGGCCCTGAGAAGAAGCCTAAGGTGGCCAGCTGAAACAACTGACCACAAGCCAGCCCACATGCCGTGCCCTCCTTTCTTGGAGCCCCAAACTGCTGCTAAGTTCATGGCTCTCTGGTCTTAGAAGGGAGCTGTGTTCTCTGTGGGTTGTAACTCAGGGATCTTGATGGAACCCCTCGAGGCAATACCAGGAAACTCTTTGTTGCAGCTACACTCAGTAGCCCTGCTACAGCTTCTTCATCTGATTCAGAACCTGCATCTGAAAGCAAGGCAGCCTCTCCCTACCTCTGTGTGGGAGAAGGAAGAGAAGCATTCTTACACTCTTCCTCCGTGTGCAGTCCTTAGGCAAGAGTGCCAAATTTTAAATGTGTCCCTCTAGACCAGTTCCGGAGATTCTAAAACTGTCAGTTTCCTGGGACAGGTAAATCATTAAGCCCTAGAATACCCCTGGGAGTTACATATTATTTGATTTAAATAAACATGAATCCTAATTGTGTACCCCATCTTCCTGGTCTGAACGGTGCTAGAGCATTGAACGGTTTGTTCTGTCTCGTGAAGGCCCATCTCCACTTCCAAATGTGTGTCCTCCACCAGCCAGGAGTGAGGAGGTTCCTCAGCAAAGCCACATGATGTCAGGCTTGGCCTCACAGTGACTAAGTCCTCTCCTGGAGAACTAGCAGAAAGTTGTCACAACCCATTTGGCAGCTAACTCACATGCTTCAGCTTGAGGGTGTGACCTGCTAACTGTGTGGGCGGGGAGACAGGGAGGCTTAGGGCATGGGAGGGGCTACAGAATAATGTTGGAGTTAAAAGCACAGATTTGCAGCCACACAAATCTTGGTTGAAATCCCAGCATGGCTTGTTACTAGTTGTGTAGATGTAGGAAATCAGACATCCTCAATCTGAGCCTTGGTTACCTTCATCAGGCTGTTACTGATGAGAACGTGCTACTCCTACCCAAGGCACTTGCTTTGGACAGGTTTCCTTCCTTTATTCTTCAGAGTAGGTCATCTCTGACATAGGCTTTTCAAGCATTCTTGAACAAGAAAGTGTAATTAGATATTTGGGGGCAAATCTTGTTCATTGTCTCTTAAATTACACCACCCACTTCCTAGGCTTAATTAACCCAGACCCAGGCCTTACAGAGGAGCAATGTTACAGCTTTGAAGTTAGAGCAACGTAAAGGAAATTGAATTGCACTTAAACTTCCTACTACTTTGGTTATCAACAGATTCTAAAGCACTGAAGATACCAGTAGCATGGAATAATGAATCTTAAATTATTTGTTCCTTCAGTCCTGGCTCTTCTCACCAATTATTTCTGGTCTCCTCACTGCATTCCTGGGGATAATACATGATGCTACAGGAATTTATAGTACATGAAAAAAAAAAAAAAGGTTTCTCTCTTCTGAAGAACTTCAGAGCAACTTGTTCTAAAACATTTAGTCATAAAGGTATTATAAGTCCTCAAAGAACATTTCAGAAACCCAACACCATCAGAATGTTTTTTGTCTAAAACTGTCAGCTAGAATCCACTTTAAGTTCTGAAATTATTCCTGAGTCTTTAGTTAAGATTTACTTCACTCTGGAAAGATCCTAGCAAACCCTCACTAGACCTCTGCTTTTGACCTCCTGCATTCTATCCAGCATCCCGTGGTTAAAGTTGGTATTCTTTTTTTTTTTTTCTTAACTGGGTGATGGGCATTAAGGAGGGCATGTGATGTAATGAGCACTGATGAATTACTGAACTGTACATCTGAAACTAATGATGCACTGTAGGTTAATGAATTGAATAAATAAGTAAAAAAAAGTTAAGTTGGTGTTCTAAAATAAGTTTTGCCACGTCTCCCTGATGAGGCTCAGACTGAGGATAACTGATTTCTCAAGTTCAACGTCAAATAACTTGACTGAAGATCTGCACTTTCAACCCCTAAATGCTCTCCTGTGCAGAGCATTCAAGGACTTTGCTGTCCCAGCATGGCTTACCACTTGTGTAGTTATGGGTGCACTTGGCTCTAAGCTAGAGGAAGTGGGGCCAGCTGTGATATTTCTCACAACCAAGAAGTCCAGACGGAAGTGGTTCTGGTAGTGCAGTTACTGAGAGCACCAACGAGGGACTCGAGCTCTCTGGGTCTTCCCACTGCGCCCTTAGCAGATGGCTCTCATCCTCCTATCTTAAAGCGTCAAACTCAAGTTCCAGGTAGGAAGAAAGCAAAGAGGCAAAAAGCCTTCTCCTTGTAAGGCTTTGCATTTTTATTCTGTAAGAGAAGCCCTTCCCAGCAAAAGCCCTATGACCTGTCACAGACCTTCACCTGTTTGGGAAAATCTAGTGCTTCAGTTCCCCAGCTCTATAGTAAGGAGGGCAAAAGGAGAGGTGGTTGAACATGGGTGTTGAATAAAACAATCTGTAGTGTGGGCAATGCGCTTCAGCTCCACTGTACGGTACCTTACACCTCAGACATTATGCTAAGACCACTCTCAGTAGCTGCTGTCCCCCACTGCCCCTCATGCTTTCACATGGTTGCATAGATTGTCTTTGCTCGTGTCTGCCTAAAATGTACGTTCCCAATGAATCCAACTAGCAGCTCCTGCTCATCCATCAAGACTCAGCTAAAACACCACCTCCCTTATGGGCCACTCCTTGACCCCCCCACCCCGGGCCTCAGGAGGAAAGTGCTCCTTCCTCTCTGCCCCTTTGTCTAGACCTCTATCATACTGTCTTTTATTTGCACATCTGTCTTTCCTGTGAGCCTTTGAGCTCCTCAAGGGAAGGAATCATATCCAATTCCTGGAACCTACTAATAATAGGCTATATAAGGCTTATATATAGGGCTTACTATGCCAAGCAGTGTAAACATTTTATATAATTAACTCAAGCCTCACAACAACCCTATGAGATATGTACTATTATTATCCCCATTTAAAGATGGGGAAACCAAGGCACAGAGCAGTTAAGTAATTTTCCCCAGGTCTCATAGCTATTAAATGGCAGAACCAGAATTTGAAGCAGGTCATCTGCCTTTAAAGCCTGATACTGATCAATGTTGTGTGTAGGTGGTTGTAGATAAATTCTGGAGAGAGTATCCATAGATTCCATCGGATATGCAAAGATTCTATCGGATATGCAGTGAGGAGACCAGAAATAATTGGTGAGAATAGCCAGGATTGAAGGAACAAATAATTTAAGATTCATTATTCCCCTTCAGAGGAAAAATAAAGTTTAAATCGATAGCACTGGATGATAAGGCTGAAGGCAGTTATCAAAAAGTTTAGTTTGGTCTTTCAGCTAATCATATGAACTACTACTCCTTGAAGATAAGTTTGAAGGTTCTGTGAGAACTTTTTTAATGGGGAAAGCCAGGTGAAGTTCTTCTGGCTGATTATTAATTTAAGAAATGTTACTAAGTATCTATTCTGTAGTAGAAACAGAAACCTCTGGAAGGACACAAAAATGATTGATAGGTAAGACCTCTCAGGCTGGTGGAAGGAGACAAGACAATGAAATAAATGTTCTAATCAAGGTATGGACTGAATGCAGCAGAATACTGAGGGAAGACTTCCCAGATGGTGTGCTGTGGGACTTAGGTCTTGATGGGTGATGAGACATTTTTGGGGAGTGGGTTGGGGGCATTCCAGGTAGAAGGAACAGCATGTGCAAAACTACCAAGGCATCTCACGAACACTTGGGGAACTCTATAGAAATGGCATGTGGTTGAAAAATAAAAAGAAAGAAATGCCATGTGGTTGGAGCTCATGGTACACACAGAGAAGTGATGGCTATTGGGCTGGGCTTACTCCAGTTACATACATCCAGCGTGGTTCTCTTATTTCTTTTCTTTTTCTTTTTCTTCTTTTTTTTTTATGTTCAGTTAGCCAACATATAGTATATCATTAGTCTTTGATGTAGTGTTCAACAATTCATTAGTTGCATATAACACCCAGTGGTCATCACAACATGTACCCTCCTTAATACCCATCACCTAGCTACCCCATCCCCCCACCCCCCTCCCTCCAGCAATCCTCAGTTTGTTTCCCAGAGTCCAGAGTCTCTCATGGTTTGGTTTTCTTATTTCTTACAAACAAAACCTAATGTTGGGTTCTGGGTCTCACATTGCAACTTCGTGAATGAAATGAAGATTCCCTGCTCCTACAGAATTCATGCACATCTTTAAATTTCTATGCAACCGGGTAAGTGAGAACCAAACTGTCCTACTTTCTGTATATACCTAATAACATATAAAGGACATTCATGAGAAATAATTGAAGTTACCTGAACTTAAGAGCAAGAATATCCTTTAGTGTATAGTTTAAATGCTAAATTTATTTCTGTGATTAATGTTGCATTAAAATCTTATGCAATTTTTTCAAATTTAGGCAAGTTCAAACTTAAAACATGTTTTTGCTGATTAAAACATGCTAAATCTTAGAAAAATACAGTTACTATCAGAATTTTATTTATTTTTTTACTATCAGATTTTTTTTATTATTATGTTATGTTAATCACCGTACATTATATCATCAGTTTTTGATGTAGTGTTCCATGATTCATTGTTTGCATATAACACCCAGTGCTCCATGCAGAACATGCCCTCTTTAATACCCATCACCAGGCTAACCCATCCCCCTATCCCCCTCCCCTCTAGAACCCTCAGTATGTTTTTTAGAGTCCATCATCTCTTATGGTTCTTCTCCCCCTCCGATATCCCTCCCCTTCATTCTTCCCCTTCTGCTATCTTCTTTTTTTTTTTTTTCTGGTTTCTCTTCAGATCGCATAAATCTTTTGCCTTTTACTATCAGAATTTTAAAATGAGGAGGGAAAATTGAGAGAAATACATACTAAATATAATGTCAACTAAAAAATTTTTTAAAGAAGACTACCATGTTGATTGATCTCTTTTTTTATTATTATTACTGTAATTAGAAACTGTTTTCACCCAGGGAAAACTCTCCTTGATTTTCAGGTCTGTTTACTTTCCTGAACGGATATAATGG